AAGTCTCAGTGCTGTCTCCGTGGAGATGTTTCCCTGTTGGAGATGACAGAACTTCTTACCAAACTACCTCCTGCTGATCTCTTCAGTGTCATGAGCTGCAAGGTAAAGAACGTACACACGGTCTTATTATGCACTTAAATTTTATCATCTGCATAATAGAAGCATCCAGACACATTGGTGCTCCAGTGCGCAAACATTAGCCCACAGTGATGATAAAAAAAATCTTAAATATGTAAATTCCTGTATATTAGGGCTTTTTTTTTTTTTTTTAGGATTTCACATATGAACCTGGAATTCTGTCATTTTTTCCCCCCAGGAGTTCAATCTAAGCCTTCTCTGTCCATGCTTGAGTATGGGAATGCAGCGGTTAGCACGCGGTCAGGGGTCACTTTTGTTGGAGACAGCGCTGCAGGTGACCCTCGAACAACTAGCAGGGGTCACCGGGTCACTTCCTGCACCTCACCAGTCTTTTCTGCCACCGTCCCAACCCCAGCCCTACTGGGACCAGCTGGGTGATGTGTATGGTGAGACTGGGAAGGAGGGGAAAAATGCATTAGAAAAAAGTTAGCAAAAAAACCCACAAGTATCTGTTCTGTCTGGGTTTTTGTTCACTGGAGTCTTTTAATTAAATTTAATTCAAAATAAAGTTTTGATTCATTATTTTCCTAAATTCTTTACCGTATGTTTCAGATGAACCAGGGTTCTACCCCAGAGTTTTGTCACTCTGTAGAGCACTATCTCAATACCTGCTAAGTGTGAGCCAGCTCCCTTCTTCACTACATATTCCCTCAGACAAGGAGCACCTCATCACCACCTTCACCTGCACTGCCACTGAGGTAAACGACTGATTTGATTTCAGAAAATTAAAGCTTGAAGACCATGTCAAATTAGTAGGATATGACTGCTTTGCACAACCTTTGATTTCTTTACAACTGTCTTAAACCTTTGTGAATGTGACATCATGGTTACACAGGTTGTAGTGTGGCGTCTGCTCCAGGACCGGCTGCCCCTGAGCGTGGACTTGCAGTGGGCACTTTCTTGCCTGTGTCTGGCGTTGCAGCAGCCCTGCGTCTGGAACAAGCTCTCCACCCCAGAGTACTCCACCCATACCTGCTCCCTCATTTACTGCCTTCGCCTTATTATTGTTGCAGGTAATCAAGGCAGAAAGATGCATTTTTGCACTTTTTTGTAATATCTTTGCTAATTAAAAGTCTTTCACCTTTCCCTCGCAGTGGCTGTGAGTCCTGGTGACCAGCTGCTGCATCAAGAGAAGAAAATGGCAAAAGGAGAAAAAGATGATGGAGACCAAGTGGATGCAGCACATGCTGACCGTAAGAATCTTATTTTAGACACTGAGTTAAAGTTCAGGGTTGTTTCATCTAGTTTTATTATTGCAGTCATCTTTTTTGTTGTTGTTGTTGTGAGTAATTCTTCTCAGATGAAAGCCTTAGGGTAACATTTAAGTCTTTGTGTTACAGACATATGTGAGTGGCAAGCATGTGAGATCATGGCTGAGCTGGTGGAGGGTCTGCCGAGCATCCTTTCCCTTGGTCATCGTAGAAACTCCATTTTACCCACTTTTCTCACACCAACATTGCGCAACATTGTTATCAGTCTGTCTCGGCTTCCTCTGGTCAACAGCTACACCAGAGTACCTCCACTGGTGAGTTTTTGAAAGAAGTTGTGCCAGTAGGTAACTGAATTTAACACATAATTAAAATCTATTTCTTCTTCTTTTAAAAAAAAAAACCTGTTTATATGCTCTGTCTTTGTGGTTTAGGTTTGGAAACTGGGCTGGTCCCCTCAGCCAGGAGGAGAGTTCGGCACAACGCTGCCTGAGATCCCTGTGGACTTCCTTCAGGAAAAGGATGTCTTCAGAGAGTTTCTTTACCGTATTAATACATTGGGTACAGAAACATACAATCAGTCCATTCTTATCACATCGATGATGCTTTCATTTTTTAAATAACATTATTTTTTTAAGTATACATTTTTTGTTTTTAAAAAAAAACCTATGCATTAAGCATCTGTGTGGGTTTTTGGTTGTTCAGGCTGGAGCAGCAGGACTCAATTTGAGGAGACCTGGGCTACTCTACTAGGGGTGCTGGTCACCCAACCCATCACTAAAGACCAGGAGGAGGACCCGCAACAGGAGGTATGCACACAACTTGAACTCTAGAAATGTTACTGGGAAGAAAGATTTATGGAAGTACAAACTTTGCAGCATGCTCATATGAACTGAACTATTTGTTTATATTGGAGTATGTAATAGTCTATATTTTTGTCATGTGTCATTTAGCACATGCTCTAAATATTATGATGCCTTGCAAAAAAGATAATACATCTGTTGCCGTCTTATTGCATGTCTTTCTTATTTGTGTTTCTTTAGGAGGACTTGGAGCGTACCCAGTTGAATGTGTTAGCAGTGCAAGCCATCACCAGCCTGGTGCTGAGTGCCATGACCCTTCCCACTCCTGGCAACCCAGCAGTTAGCTGTCTGGAACAGCAGCCTCGCAACAAGAGCCTAAAAGCCCTGGAAACACGGTAGTTATGGTTCTAATATTTGTAACTGTGCAGCTGCCTAAAATGAGCAAGTGACAGACAGATTTTTTTTACCCTTTTGCTAATGTTTATGCTCAGGTTTGGAAGGAAACTTGCAGTGATTAGAGGTGAGGTGGAGAGAGAGATTCAAGCGCTTGTGTCAAAAAGGGACAACGTCCATACATACCACCCATACCATGCCTGGGATCCTGTGCCCTCACTATCAGCAGCTTCTGCAGGTAATAGAAAAAGTGCAGTCACACTCTCATTAGCCTCAGCTTGTTCATTTCATCAACCACTTCTTAAAATGTATTTGTAAAGTAACTGCTTGACTTATTTGTTTCAGCAGGTACGCTGATCAGCCATGAGAAACTGCTCCTTCAGATCAACACAGAGAGGGAGATGGGCAACATGGAATACAAACTGGGGCAGGTAGGAATCATAGGAAAGGGTAAACTGTTGTTAGGAACAATGTATATGTTGTCAGCAGTGCAACAGTTATTCTTTTTTTTTTTTTTAACATTATGAACAAATATGTTTGGTTTTTTTTACTTGGCATGTCACTCTCCAGGTCTCCATCCATTCAGTGTGGTTGGGTAACAACATCACGCCTCTCAGGGAGGAAGAGTGGGGTGAGGATGAAGAAGATGAGGCAGACACTCCGGCGCCCACCTCCCCACCTTTATCTCCTATAAACTCTAGGTTAGTCAAATAAACACAACATTACATACGTGTACACAGTCCTTCAGTGCACAGGAGGCATCTTGTTGTAAGTTAAGATGAGACACTCTAATTGACTGTTTGTGTTTCTCTCAGAAAACACCGTGCAGGCGTGGATATTCATTCATGTTCTCAGTTTCTCCTGGAGCTCTACAGCCAGTGGCTGATCCCCAGCTCTCCAAGTAACAGGAGAACCCCAACCATCCTCGTCAGTGAAGTGGTCCGATCGGTGAGATATGATGCATGTGCTTAGTTAAAACTCATTCACCTAAATATCTGATCTTAAAGACCAGTAGACTGTCCTTCGCTGATGTGACAGAATACACTTAGGTGAAACTTTACTCTTTAATTTAGACGTATTAAAATTTATGCCGCCTTGTCTGTTCTGGCAGCTCGAAATGAGCCTGAGACCAGAGCCATGCTTACTCTGTCTGCTGATTGTACACTCTTGTCCTTCCCTGTAGCTGCTGGCAGTGTCAGATCTGTTCACAGAAAGGAATCAGTTTGATATGATGTTCTCCACCCTGATGGAGCTGCAGAAGCACCATCCACCCGAGGATGAGATCTTGAATCAGTACCTTGTGCCGGCCATCTGCAAGGCAGCAGCTGTTTTGGGCATGGTGAGAGGAGCTGTGTGTGATGGGACCTGAGATGGTTCAAGATGTGTTTGAGTTATCAATATAGCAGCACGCCACTGCTCCCACTATATAAAACTTTTAAATTTACATTTATAGGACAAGGTAATAGCCGAGCCCGTGTGTCGCCTTTTGGAGACGACCCTGCGCAGCACTCACCTTCCCAGCCGCATGGGAGCCCTGCATGGGGTGCTGTATGTGTTGGAATGTGACCTTCTGGATGATACAGCTAAACAGCTCATCCCCACAGTCTCTGAGTACCTTCTATCGAACCTCAAGGCTGTTGCTCAGTGAGTATAAATGTCATGCCTGTGCAGACGTTGACCTTAACTCATCTTCTAATGAGCTTAAGTGATGAAAGAGCCTTGGGAACTAATGTGTCTAATGTCAGTGTGTGTGACCACCCCACCTTCCTCCTCTGTAAGAGGATCTGCAAATTAATTAGTTTTCATCCAGCTTAATACAGCGATGGAACCAAGAGTGCAGTGCAACTGTTGGCCCTTAGATGCTGCTTTTTACATTTCAGATAAATACAGACAGTGGCGGATTAAGAGGAAAACCTGAACTCTTGACCTCCTACTGGGAGGGTATCTGTTTTGCTAAATGCACCAAGTTGCTTGCAGGGTTAAATCCATCTGTAGACCGAAAGGAGATTAATACTAAGTGATCACCTTTAAGATAGAAATGCTTCATGGGATAACGTGTGTGTTGTCTTCCAGAATGACAATGGGGCATTCTAGGATCACTGACAGGTTGGAGTATAGAAATGGTATGAATCACACGCTGTAGCATTTGCTGCCAGCAGGTCTTCCAACTATGGGATGTTTTGGACCTGCGTTTTAGCTAGAACTCTCACCATTGCGGAAACACTTCTGGAGTTACAGAGATTGTTGTTACTGAAGCTGTTCTAGCCCAGCATCTTATTAACACTTTATGCTGTCATTTACTTTATGTTGGCATTCATCTGTAGCCACTGGAATGTATATTTTTCTGTTTAATTATAATGATTTTTTTCTACTTGCTGTGTGTCGCCCATCTCTATTCTGCAGCTGTGTGAACCTGCATAACCAGCAGCATGTGTTGGTGATGTGTGCAGTGGCTTTCTACATGATGGAGAACTACCCTTTAGATGTGGGAGCTGAATTTATGGCTGGAATAATACAGGTAAAGTAAAATAAATCAAATTATCTGACAGCTGGGCAGTAAATGATGTTTACCTTGCTAGCTCTGAAGTACAAAGTCTGACTGATGTCTGACTGCACATGTGAGCATGGAGGAAATTGTGTGGCACATTGACCTCTGTTGAGAGGATGTCATGTATTCTGCCACCTGCACGCTCTCTCCAGGCAGCATCCTTGCTTAAACCAGAGTATTTCCTGTAGTGAGAACAAGAAGCAGACCTCCTTCCTGTGTCCTGATCTGATTCTCCTGATGCTGTCCAGAGTTCAGAAGTGAAAATGGCTGCAGGAAGCTCACATATTGCACAATAAAATGAAAGCAAAAACATAAAATATATATATTTAAGCATCTTGAAGGGGAAAAAAAAAGTATTTTGATTTAGTGCTATATGTCCTTTATCTTTTGCACTTTCTAATAACGTCTTCTTCCTCATCTTCGTCTTCTAGTTATGTGGCGTGATGGTGTCGGCCAGCGAGGACTCCACTCCCTCCATCATCTATCACTGCGTGCTTCGTGGTCTTGAGCGCCTCCTTCTGTCAGAGCAGTTGTCACGGATGGACGGTGAAGCGCTGGTCAAACTCAGCGTGGATAGAGTCAACATGCCATCTCCGCACAGAGCCATGGCTGCTCTGGGCCTCATGCTTACCTGCATGTATACTGGTAAGCAAGGCTTTAACATGACTGCTAACTTTAACGTCATCAAAAATGTGTTGCTGGCATCCTGGCTTAATCACTGGTATGCACAATTAGGACTGGTGTTAGTGCTGCTGCATTCCCAAGCAACTCCAAACCTGCTATAGCATCAAGCTAGCTGGCTAACTCTGATGTAATACTTTGCATCAGGTCTTTTCAAAGAAACAGATAAACTTGCAGGTCTTTAAGTTTCCTACTTAAATGCTTTGCCACAGTGAGCTTTTTCCCCCCCATTTAATCCCTCCGGACTAATCCTTGACCCTCTTCTTACTAACATTATGTAATGTGTACTGTCCCCCTCAAAGAGTCAGACCCCATACCCCACATACAAATGATTTGCCTTTGCGATAGTCAGTTAGAAAACAAGAATGTAGAGGGATCTAATTGATCAAGTATTAATAATCTATAGGCTAAAAGTGGAGAGGAATGCATAGCTGTCTCTAAGCCTAGTAAATGGCTAACTGACAAACTTATGAATGACTGTGCATGCTGCTTTAGCAAGCACCTCGTATTGTTGTTGGTGGTCTGTGTATATGTATATAATAGGGCAGCAACAATTCATCAAGTAATTTGAATAATGACACAAATTCCTTTTGTGCTTCGATGCTTCATTTAAAGCACGGCATAGTAGCGAGCTGATGTGTTAAATGATGTAAACGTTGATAACGTGATACGAATGTATTTAGGAGCAACGTATGAATAAAGAGTCCGACAACATTAAGCCCACGCAGGCCCCAGTTCTAAACAAAAGCACTGATAACACAGCAGCAGTGATTATGATGCTAGCACAGTGTAACGTTGAGCAAGAGTCTGTTTAACACTGTAAAGAGCAAAGAGGCGGTGCTATTACTGAGATAGTGAGCTCAGGTAGAGTGAAAGAAAACGTGTTTCTAGTGTCCAAAACAGCAGCGCTAATTCTGTAATTAAAATGTTTACTGGGTTCACTTCATCCCTTATCTGAAACCGAATCATTACAAATACACCAGCAGTTTTGCATTGTGCTCTTTACCTGTGGCCTCTTTACACTTGCTACCACTACTAACACATTCTCACTAAGAATCACAGCATACCTTTTGTTAGTGATTTCATTCATTATGTCTCTATTACAGCATAACTGCATTTTAAAACTTGGCAGTACTTCATTTTGAGCATAACGCTTGTACACCCGCTTGCTTCCTGCATGTAATAGATGTTATCCATACTGTACTTCTGGTATACCTACCTCTAACCCTTACGCTGGACCTTACTAACTCTACCAGCTCTTAGCGTGCCCTCGTCTTTATGCTAATACACTAATATGAAGTTCTGTTGCTTAGGCTAGCCAGCAAATTCCTTGACAAAACCCCAGCTCTTTTAAATGTAAACTGGTTCAATAAATTTTTGTATATCTCTCTGTGCTGTATGTACAAACTGAAGCACATTTGGGCCACAGCAGTGAGTACCCAGGAAGCATGGCATTTAAATTCCCTCAAATCATTTAAACACCAGTCACTTACAGAAAAAAACTTAAGAATGTAATTTGACTTAAAGTAGCGCCCATAAATTAACAAATTTTCTGTTTGAGATGAACAAAATTCTGATCTGAATCTTGTGATATGAGTTTCCCGACTTCCGCTCTAACCTTTGCCCCACTGGTTCAACCGGTGCCACCCCCCTTCTCGTCTTCTCAGCTGTGCTTACGTCGGGTTCAGACGTGACAGGGGTTAGAGGTCAGGTTGACTCTGCTGTATCGGAGGCGGTGGGCGTCACGGCGGGTCATGTTGGTTTCTCTTCAGGCAAGGAGAAAGCCAGTCCTGCCAGCCGCCCCGCCCATTCTGATCCTCAGGCCCCAGACAGCGAGTCAATCATTGTTGCCATGGAGAGGGTCTCTGTGCTCTTTGACAGGTACACTGCTGCTACACTCTGACACACACAGACACACACACACACACACACATCTGCCATCATACAAATAACTTTGGTAGTTGGAAAGATGATTGTTAGTTTAGTACTTTAAAAAATGATCAGATTGTCGCAACAGATTGACTTTCTTTTGTAACTTATTTTGTTTCCAGTCTTGATTTGCTCTTCTTCTGGTGTTTCCTGTTTGTAGGATTAGGAAGGGTTTACCCAGTGAGGCTCGTGTGGTGTCCAGGATTCTGCCACAGTTTCTGGATGACTTCTTTCCGCCACAGGACGTCATGAACAAGGTCATAGGAGAGTTCCTGTCTAATCAGCAGCCTTATCCGCAATTCATGGCGACAGTCGTCTACAAGGTCAGCAGCAGAACACGAGTACATTCACATCAACAAAACAAGCAAAATGTTTACATTTTAAAAAAACGAAAATCTTGAACATCAGGCTTTTAGTTGTTTAATTTATTTCTTTGGTCACACAAGTGCTGCACTATAACTGTTTTTCACATCCCATTGTCCTATTTACAACATCACACTGGAACAAATACAGTGAGTTCTTGTTATTTTCCCAAAAATGTAAATCAAGGTACATTTCAGCGCAGTTAGTAACACTTGAATTCGAGTGAGAGCAATGAGTCAAGGATGCATTATATTGAAAAGTTAACCTTTCATTATAAAGTATAAATCTTGCATACTCATTCTTTATTTCAGATCTTTGTAATTTACAGACACAGATTTCAAAAACCACTTCATGCTGGAAATGTAACAGAACGCCAACTTTTTAAAAAATGTCCTATTCCTGTGCTCTCATATGCAGGTTTTCCAGACACTCCACGCTACAGGCCAGTCTTCTATGGTGCGAGACTGGGTGCTCCTGTCATTGTCCAACTTCACTCAGAGGACACCAGTGGCCATGGCCATGTGGAGCCTCTCCTGCTTCTTTGTGTCTGCTTCCACCTCCCAGTGGATCTCAGCACTGTATCCTTACATACCACGTAAAAGATCTCACAAGCAGGAGACTGGACCGGAGTGGCTGGGTGGTGGTAGAAGCAGCAGCAGCTGATGTCTCAGTGTTGCAGTGATTTGTAACAACGCTTTACTTTAATTATTTCTAACGTTTTAGTAAAACAGTTTACTCTGTGAACTGTGATCAAATAATTATAGTTTAGCTTCTTTTTGTGAGCTTCTGATCCACAGTCGTTTTGTTACCTGCATTGGGGGCAGGAAATAGGAGAAATGACAGCACGATCAGCAGTTTAATAGATTTAAGCCTCATAAAATAATCATTGTATAATTATATTTAGAACATTTTCACTACCATCAGAAACTCTGATATACTCAGAGTTTCTATATTTTACACACACACACGCGTGAATGCAGCACAACTTAGCTGATGCTTGCAGACAGTGTGATCTGTTGTCCTTAACCCACCCGCTTTTAACCAGACTGCCACACGTGATCAGCCGAATGGGCTCCAGTGAGGTGGTGGATGTTAACCTGTTCTGCCTGGTGGCCATGGATTTCTACCGGCATCAGATTGACGAGGAGCTGGACCGCAGAGCTTTCCAGTCTGTATTTGAGACTGTGGCCTCGCCAGGCAGCCCTTATTACCAGCTGCTGGGCTGTCTGCAGTCAGTCCATCAGGATACATCACTCTGAGGGCAACAGACAGAGAAGGGCATGGAAGCACACGGAGAAAAGTGGTTTCAAGTGAGGTGTGGTAGGGTGAGAAATTAGATCTCTATTTATAATTCCTGGATGAATTGTGACTAAGGGTAAGAACAGAATGTTTTATTAGGAAAAAACTACTGTAGCTTCATCCCTTTTTGCCCTTTCAATGATAATGAGATAAGTAGAACTACTGAACCCACGGCAACAAATTCAGTGGAGCGAGTATTAAAAGGTTGAGGAAAAAAACAAAAAAACCCCAACCTGAATTCAATATTAGGCTGTGTGTTTAAATGTAAAAGGAGCATTCTCTGACGAGGAACAGCAAGCTTCTGTATCTGTGTGGAGATTGCACCCACCCGACCCCACCCGCTCCCCTCAGATGATTCCTTGAGACATGACTGCACCTTCAGCACTTCCCTCTCAGCACCTTTTGAGATATTTAGTAAAAAAAAAAAAAAGCCCATGAAGATGACGATCATCAAATAAAGAATTGGATGAGTTTATTTTCCTGTGGGAACTTGTGGGGATTGAGTATTGTGATGTTAGTAAAGTAAACAAAAATAGAAAAGTATTTAAAGTTTCAGTGCATCTATTTTTCAGTGAGTCATGTGCTTAAGGTCTGGTTAGGATGCTGACAATGGGCTGACACGTAAAAGTCAGAAACACCTGCTTGAAGTCGATGAGTACATTTCTTTATGTGTTTAAGTTATTTGTGGTCATTCACACACTTAAGTTAAATAGAAAAATATTTTAGATGGAAGAATGAGCACCAATAGCCATAGTTTTGTTTTGTTTTTTGTGTGCATCTGTTTATTTTTTGGGGGGGGTCTTTTTCCCCCCAGGGGATTGGTTTTGCAATTTTAATTTGTCCCAGCAGAAGGTGTTTATGGATTTTGTTTGTAAGGGAGGGGAAAAAAACGTACCTAACTTATAACCAGCGCTCGGCCACATTTCCATATATCTGCACTGACATAACAGCAGAAACTGTCAAGCATGGAAAAATACCAAAATTATCAAAATTGCAGTGATGTTGTCTTCATTTCTTTCCTTTTGTTTAACTAGTAGCAGAGGGGGCAAAAGATTCCCTTTTGATTTTTATTACCTTGCTTACGTCTGTCTAGTCTTTTTGTTGTTGTTGTTGTTTTGTTGGTTTTCATTGCAGTCTTGTTTGCTCCTCAGTGCACCTGAATGATTCCACCTGTCTTTTTCTTGTACCTTTGTTAATTCTCAGGATGTAAGATGTGACTATATTATTGTTGTAATAAGACTGGAAGTGATTTACAGTCCTCGTAAAATAGTCACCTTCATATCTTGTAAAAAGTAATTGTATAGCAACATAAAAGCCATGGTGCATGATGAAATGAGAACTGTAAAAACGATAGGACTTAGACGGTAAGATAATGTGATGCCATTTTCTTTTGTCCTAACGCGCACGAGCACAGAAGAAAATGAAAAATTAGCGAAGAATCGTCAGAATGCGGAAAGCTGCAAGCTTCTAGTGTTTTATTAAAGACTTGACCTCGAGCTGCCTGGGAGTGTGCTGGGCTTTGTTACTCTGTACATACACTTGCCTTAGATAAAAGACTGAATATGTTTGTCTTATACACTGAAAGCTTGAAAGCATGCTTAGCATTATGGCTATTTTCTTTCTGTCTTTAATACTGTATTTCCATGGGTACGGTTGACTTGTGTGGAAGAGATGCAACACAATCCAAAGGGAGCCTTGTAACCTTAGCGACCAACAGCAGCTTTGACAAATCAACAGATGAGGAAGTGTAGCATAGCGGTGCCACGTCACAGCAGGAGTTCTTTGTCTGTTTTTTGTTGAGCTTTAAAATATTGTTTCGTCTCAGTTAGAGCAGTAAATACTTCATTATTCATTGTCTTTGTGCAGAATATTAAATACACACGGCACTTAAAAAAAACACAAAAAAAACTAAGAGAAAAAAGTTCTTTTGATGTTGATGTTAGACGCTTTCTTTATACGCAATGAGTGCTGCAGTACATTAAAAGTAAACATCACAGTGATTTGTATGCTAAATGTGTAACCGCTCACCAGTCTTAAAGCTGGTGACTGGTTTCCTTTGATCATGAGAAAATAATGTATTCACACAATGAATGACAGAGTCCTCTGCAGCTGTTGAAATTCCAATGTGAGGCCTCGCTGAAGCAGATTAAAGGAGCCTAAATGAGTCCTGCTTTCAAAGTCATTTCGAATTCTTGGAGTGGGGAGAAAGAAATTAAAGATGATGGGAAAAGTCTTTTTCTAATCTACACACTACTTTCGACGTTTAAAGAAAACTCAAAAATGCGGTTGATAAAATGTAGATTTTTCAGCTAGTCTCTGGAAGGAAAAGAGCAGGGGACCCCTGCTGGGGATAATGCGATTATGCAGAGGTCTTTTGTGATTTGGGGAGATGGGCTTTGGGGCTGTCAACAAAGCTCATGTTACTCTGATTTAACGCTTCTAGTGAAGGCTTTATTTTGTTCCACATTAGGAATAAATCGTTCAGAAAATATTGTAGTCACTGTTCTCGGATAAAGCTGAGAATCGTGGTTTGAAACAAATTTGGCAACGACTTCCCATAATCCTGATTCTAAAGGTGGTAGACTGAAAATGAAATGGATTTTCTTTACATTTTCTTCAGGCAGGATCTTTGAAAGAACCTGAAGTGTCCACATCTATTTTTTTTTTTTTTTTTTTCCCTCCCCTCTTTTATTTACATTTGCCTGTAAAAATATGACTGGAAGAGATTGTGTATTTGTTAATTTTAATATTTCAAAGAGATTAATCACTGCATATGATCTGTTGTAGAAATAAATTATTTAAACATGTAACCCCGTTCTGAGATTTGATTTGCTGAGTGAGAGCTGTAAGTCACGGATGTCATCTCTGACTGTAAACCAGCTAAAGGTACTCTGTGTTTGCAAATAACAATATTACAATCATGGCTGCTTTGTACCCACAGGACCCCTTGTGTGTCTGTCTCTAACACGATCAACCTGTCGGGTGACAGACGTTTAAAATGCTCTGCCTCGTCCTCGTCTTATCCAGAAAGAACAAGCTGTTGCCAGCCAACTTCAATTAACCACAAAGCGGTCAAGCCAATCTGGGGACACAAGGAACTGAGAGATGTGCTCATGTGAAGGTCCACACCGTAAAACTAACTGACCGATTACACGGTCAAGTTATCACATTTTGTACAATTTCCTTTTCTCAGCTAGGCAGTAAAATTCCTTTTTATAGACCACACTGTATGAAAGCATGCTCTTATTTTACAGCATCATTAAGATGGGTGTTCCTGATTAAAAGATATTAGCAGGATTACTAGGCAGCTGCCATATGGTTTGTGAAGCACTGAAATCAGGATGGCACAGGTGTTAAGCAACTGTAGATGCTTCTTATAGCTGAAGTTTACATCACATCATCTGAAAGAGTAGTAGCTGACAACTGATGGGGTTTCTTGTAGCATTTCTTTTTGCACATCAGTGGAGCCACACTGAGATGTGATGAAGCCTAAAGCATTAAAGCAACAAGTCTGGTGTGCTATAACCAGTTGTTCCAGTCAGAGATATTATACTTTTATATGTGTAATTTTTTTTTTTAATTGGTGGATTCATTGTTAAACTTCAAATTTAATTACTAATAAGCAGGATACTTTTTAGGCTAAATATTTAAAAAATCTGGGTTAAAAAATAAAAATACAGTGCTTTGTGAAGACAGTTGATTCTAAAATGTAGACATCCTGAGTGCACTCCCCTCCACCCTCCACACACACCCTTAGCTTTTATTTTTTAAGTTTAGTGAACTATAACTTGTTCCAGTTTAGAACGCATTTGGATGTTATAGTTTAGCTTATTGCACACTTCTCCACACTTTTGCAGATTTCTGGCTGGTTTAGTTCAAATTGCACAATATTGCGGGTTTTGGTTAAGTTCAATCAACTGGATCGCACTGTTACATGAAATGACATGGCTACGAAGTTGGTGAACTTTAATTCTGTATCATTTCGGCTGTTAAAAGTCCCCCCTCCAATCATCTGTACACCCTCCTCCGCTGCCCACTCTAAACACACCTCCCTCTCCTCCAGTCCTCCTCCTCTTAAGGCTACTTCGCCAGATGGTGCAGCCTTTTCTTTTGTTTACCCATCGCCCCTGAGTTTACCCAACTAACCTTAGCTACGCAACTATGGAAACTTCTCGGGGAGCATCACCGCCGGACACCGACAAGTAAGTCAGATGTTAATCTCGTGTTGAGTGAACCGTCTGCTCCAAACATCTTTGTCGGAACATGAAAAAGACCTGCATCCACCTCTTACTTAGCCATCCCTACTTTTTTTTTTTAACAACCACTTCAGCCAGCTGTTTTCGCTTCGTGCTGTTTTCTGCTTATAAAGACACAGATAATTTGCTGTGCTTCCAATAAAACTCCCCGTGATCAAACAAGCTAGCAGCTGCAGAGTTCGCTCTCCCGCTGCGTTTCTGACACCTGTGGAATCGTCTACCGTTAGTACTTTTTTTATTATTTGTGATTTCTCTATCTAACTTTTGTCAATTTGTCCGCATAACTGTTCGCTATCCGATTGACAACTGGAGTAGCCAATGACAAGATGGGAAAGTTTGTGTACGCCGCCGTTGCCACGGTTACGCACCGACATTCCAAAGATCTGGAAATCGAGGGGCGGGACTACAGTTTAAGCACGGGTGGATGCGCTTTTGAACAGCGAGTCACGGCAAGAAAAAAAAAGAGAAAACTTACAGTAACTCCATAAGCTGAGAAGAAGCATGCGTTTCTCAGCGTAAAGTAATAAACGCGCTGTTTGGGGTGTTAACTCACAGCACTGTTCAAGCAGGGATAACTCTGCTAGCATGCACAGCTAACTAAACTAACGGTAACGCCTCAGCTAGTCCCAGCTAATGTCAGTGTCCTTCTAACAAGAGTTAAAACATATGTGCGCACATTTATCACACTGAGCTTTTATTTAACGTAAACAAAAGCGAAAGTTGTTTGGGGGGGAAAAGGAGAAAGTTGTGAAGTTTTTGCACAGCACAGGTGTGCTGGGCTGGGTCTCTGTAGACCTGACAGAACTGGTGACTTTATAGGTGTGGCTGTGTCCTCCCAACCTCCAGGTATCTGATAGAACACTTTACATGGGCCCAAGAGCATTTGGTGTAGAAGCCCACATGTTAAGAACATGTTAAGCATGTTAGGGTTAAGAAATCGGTCATGATTGATTTGGTTCTGTTCTTTTGTACTTTAGGTAACCTGCCCGGAGAAAAGATGGTGACACCAGGATGGGAGGCCTAGCAAAGTGGTGCCAAAGCTGAGGCTTGGGTTCTCACCCACCTGCTGCATTTTGAACTGCTGCTCATTTTTCGTAGCAATCTGACGCCAGGGCTGCTTGACGAGAAGACGTTGGAGGCACGCTGCGTTCTTGCTTTAGTAGAGATTAGGGACCTACAATGACAAATGTAAATTGAAACTCACTGAATAAATGGACAAGAGAAAATTTCCTGGCACAATGTCCAGGCAAATGGATGTGTCATGCAAAAGGCGCCCCATCGGTGGCAGTAGTCTGAACTTCCCTCAGTCTCAGCAGGGTTGTATACGGGCTGTGGAGGTAGCAAGAGGGAGAACAGGGTATGGCTTTACGCTGTCAGGCCAAAGCCCTTGTGTCCTTAGCTGCATCCTGAAAGGGAGCCCTGCTGACTATGTGGGGTTGCGCTCCGGGGACTACATCCTCTCTGTGAATGACATCAACGTCTCCAAGGCGTCACACGAAGATGTGGTCAAACTGATCGGACGCTGCTCTGGTGTTTTGAAACTAGTAATCGCTGAGGGAGAACGTCACAAGCGACACCACCAACGCTCTGCCGGCGGTCGTCACCATAGCAGCAACACAATGGCGGCATCCTACCTGGACTCATGCTCCAGTGATGATGAGTTGGATGGTTTTTATGATAACAGTGTTAACAATAACAACAACAGCAGGTCAGGCTGTGGAGCCCGTGGAGGCTGGTACAAACCCAAACTGGACACTAAGCAGCTGGGCATCAACCGGGCAGAGAAGGTGGTGGCAGAGCTGCAGTCTGGAGGAATTTTTAACATGATCTTTGAGAACTCCAGCCACTCCTCCAGCAGCTCAGACAAAGAGAGACCTGGAGTAAGTACGTCCTCGTCAAAGCCACGTCCGCTGTCTGATTCCGAATTCCCAGCATATCGGAATTCCTCACGTTCCCAGAGCAACCCAAACCTGCTCTCTGAAGAGGAGATGGCCCAAGTTCTGAATGATGATTCGGTCTTCCTAGAATCAGACTTTCGGCATCTCCACCTTCAACACAATGAAGAGCAGGATGTTGATGATGGAGATGGTGGCGACTTGGGCCTAGAGCCCAGTGAGGGTATCCTCAATGTGGGAATGATTGTTGGCTATCTGGGCTCCATTGAGCTCGCCTCCACAGGCACAAATCTAGAAAGTGACAGTCTGCAGGCCATCAGAGGGAGCATGAGGCGCCTCCGGGCTGAGCAAAAGATTCATTCATTGGTCCTCATGAAGGTGCGAGTGGAGGTTTTTTTTTCTTCTTCTTTTTTTCCCCTTGTGTTAATTTTAATGTGATTGTGTTATTATTGTTAACCATATTTTCCCTGGTATCAAGTTTGGTAACATGCATTAATTATATCCTACCAGGTTATGCATGACAGTGTGCGTCTGTGCAGTGACAGAGGTCAGGTCCTGGCCACCTATCCTGCAGAAAAACTAGCCTTCAGTGCATGTTGTCCCGATGACCGGCGATTCTTCGGACTGGTAACGATGCAAGCTACAGACGACCATGATGATAGGCACTTCAGCATTGCACGAGATGACGAGGGGAGTTTAAGGACTTCTTGTCATGTGTTTATTGTGGACCCAGATCTGTGTCACCACCAAGTAAGCGTTACAATTTAAACTGATGGGAAGGAAATATCTGCAGAATGTCTGTTTTTTTGTTTTTGTTTTTTTTAATGGCATGGGTAATATTACAACACAGTGATCAAGTACTCAAGAAGTTACTCATATATCTTAAATCTGGTGAACCTAATTTGTTCTAGTCGAAGCGATGGTTGTAAGCCAAAGATTTATTAGCAGCTACTTTTTCTGTATTGCATTAGGACAAACTCTCAGTAACTGTTACTTCCTCAGGTCCATCTGGGT